CAGGCGACGTCGAATTCATGTCGTCGTCGGGGCGGGGCCCCCCGTTGCGCGCCCGACGCGCTGCCAGGGGCCGTGTGGCAGCTCATCGGCGCCATCCGCGACGACGGTGAGTGCGACAGCCGCGAGATGAACGATCGTGTATGGCAGTTTGGCTACTACGTGCTCACGTACGCCGACTTCTGCTACGATGATACCATCGAGGTGATGAACGTCCAGGGCGGTGCCAAATGGACGCTCGGTGATGAGCATGGTCGAGCCGATCTGGCCGTGGGGCTCGCGCCAGCTTTGCCATCAGGCTTCCGCGCCGTCTACGCGCTGATGTGGCAACCGAAGGCGGGCTTCGGTGACTTCGGCGGTCTGGCCTGCGCGGCGCATGGGACCGTGGTCGCAGCAACGTTTGTGGGTCACATTCCGTCTTGGATTGCCCGCAGCATCAATGCCAATGCAAGCGACCCCGATGCATGCATGTTGTGAGTGGTTGTTCGAGGCGAGGTATCTCTCTATATAAGGACGTGTTCTCTATATCTTGAAATGCACCAGCGAAAAACATCATCAACACCATCCATCATCATCATCGTCCATCACTACGTCTTTGTCGCCACCGTCGGTTGTCGACCTCGCAACCCCGCCTGCGCCTTCAGCGTTTGAACGTGCATGTATGTCCAACAACAGCGGCGCATCGATGACCGATGATTGTCAAGCTCACGCGTTGTCCTCGCGCTGCCCACTGTATGACATGCGATGTTCAATTGTCGGTTGCACCGTCGGCTGCCGACGTGATTGATTGTCGCGCGACTCGCCGATATCAATGATACACACCGTGCATTACACCACGCAGCATCGACAAACGCGAAACGATTGCTTATACATGCATATACGATACCACATGACGAACCACAACACACGATACTCGATGCGAGGAGGAGGGCGAGGAGGAGGAGGAAGATGAGAAGGAGGGGGGGGGGGACGGGGGGGAGGGGGAGGGGGGGGAAGAGGATGAGGAGGGGAAGGTGAGAGAGGAGTAGGGAGGTAGTCGTTGACGTTGGCGTCGAGGTGTGATCTTCGGTGGCATTACCGCCCCCATTACGTGCAGACCCAATCCGCTCGTTCGGCAAGCGGGGCCCTTCCGTTGTGCTTGAAAATCTGCCCTTTAGTTATGCGAAAGCGGCGCCCTTTAGTGACGCGTGCGCTGTGCCTTTTAGTTGCATAAGGCGGAGTCCTTTGGTTGTGCAAGCATGGGGCCCTTGATGCCATCGAGTGTCGAATGTGCATCGTCGTTGTCCATCAGCTGCTCTCGTCGATTGTCGAGCGATCGTCGCCGCTGGTCGTAGCTATAGCCGCGTGTGCTCGAAGATCGGACATTGGCGAGTCTACGCAACCATGCTGAATCTGTACAACGCCTCCCTGAACTTCATCAGCCGGGAGCAACGGATCTTCGGCGACGCGTGGGCTGGCCTGGGGGACATCGGGCTGCCAACGGGGTGATGTGGAAGAGCGCAGCGGGAAACTACAGCGCCATGTGTGTAGAGACAGAGAGAGAGAGAGAGCGAGAGAGAGAGAGAGAGAGAGAGAGAGAGAGAGAGAGAAATAGAGAGAGATGCAGAGGCAGAGAGAGGGAGCGGGGGAGGGATAATGCAACGATGACATGACGACGACGACGACGACGACGATATACGCGATCTTACGGTTGTCGGTATAAAGCCACCCACGCACCCCCACGTCTTCTGCCGACCCCCGACAGGAATCCCGCCAGTCTCGCGCATCGCATGTCTTGGAGGCCGTGAAGAGCCCCCCCCAGGACATCGACGACAGCGCTGCTGCTTTGGCGGCGTTGGCTGAACCAACGCATATCTTCAAGGGCGAGCAGCGGGGTGCAATGGCGTCGGCCATCTCTTTGCGCATGAAGGGCGGGCGCGCCGGCAGTTCGGGGACCTCGCAGACTCAGACTCACTTGCACCTGTGCCATTACTTAACAGAGGGGCTTTGGGGGGCCATTATGGATAAGGACAACTCCGGGGACATGAAGCAGGAGACGATGGCCGACTTCCCCATGCAGATCGGGGTGCGTCACCCGTCGGACCCCACGGTCAAAGACATGTTTGCCATCTTGTCTCATTGCCACGGCCGCTCGCTCCAGCCCGATGAGGCGTGCGACCAGCTCCACAAATTCAGACTGAAGGTGTCCGCCAAGAGGCTGATCACCCCTGGCCAGATGGCGCTGCTGAACTACCCCTTGGACCCCGAGGACTTCGTGAAGCAGTGCCCGAGGGCGTGCGCCGACGGCGACGGCCCCGTCAAGACGAGGATTGAGCCAATGAAGATCAAGCAGATGACACGGGAAGATTTGATGCCTGCGAGGCCCACCAACTTGGCAATCGGGGGGAGGCAGCGGGCCGCGGAGAGCTCGTCGGCCAAGGTTGCCAATCGGAAGGAGCGAAGCGACGACCTCGAGGAGTTGCTGCTGCGCAGGCTGAAGGACGACGGCGGGTCTCCATCTGGCAAGAGGCGCTACGCCTCGAAGGGCCCTGCAGTCGCGGCGGGCCTCGCGATCGAGGACCAGCATGCCTGCGGGAAGGTGGCGGTCGAGGTGGCGACGGGCCGCCTGCAGACGCAGCCGCGCCCGCTCCAGCAGGCATTGCGGCGATCGTCGCGGCTGGCAAGAAGGCGTCGGAGAATGCGAAGGGCAAGAGGAAGAAGAAAGTGGATGACTCCGACGAGGATGAGGCCTCCGACGACGAGGAGGTCCCCTTGCTGGGTGGCAAGCCCGCCGCGGCGGTTCCACTCCGCGAAAGGCCCTCCGCGGCGCCTGCCTGCAAGGGGCCCTCGGCGGCGCCGAGTGCCGCGGGCAGCAAGAAGGCCAAGGTCTCCGAGACCACGGCGGAGCTCTTGCGGCGCCTCCCGAAGGACTTCTCCAAGAGCTTCTTGAAGCGGGAGGTGGCCAGGCGGATCTCGCGTGGGGCTTTCACCACGCGTGGCTACGCGCTCTTCAAGAAGACAGACAAGGTGGCGGCCTCCGCGGCCTACAACGTGACCGCCCGCTTTTGGGACCAGGTGCACGGCTGAGTTGGGCACGTGCACTCGTGCGGTCAGCTGTGTGCGCTACATGGGCCATATAAAAAATCGACTGCCTGGAAGATATACAATGTCTCGCGTCGGTGCCAACAACTTCCGATTTTCGCAACATGCACATTCGAAAGCGACATTATATACTATTGCGTAACAGTCGGTTGTCGATCATACATGTGTTGGATACGTATATAGTAGTTAAAGCGCATGCGTAACCTAGATGTAACCTGTGCCGCTTTGGACAACATACGTAATTAGTTATACCTACTTGCAGAAGTTTTAACCAGCTAACAACACAACGAACAACAAAGTAGGGCACGTGCAACCCACTCCTGAATTCCCTTAGGACGGATAAGCCTCACTGCAGCATCCACTCGTTCTCTCTGTCCTCTTAGCAACCCCCGCGGCGATCCAAGTAGGGGCCCGATAGTCCGCCCCGCTACGGAACGTGCGGATTCGCTGTCGGTGGCGTCCCGGCGATATATTACCGAGTCTAGTCCGATTTTTCCCCCCCTCAAGCAGGCCCATTCGTATCGGTCACACTCCCTCAGATCCGGCATAGCGGAAAAAAAACATCGTGAAGAGTCACGTCTGGAGGCCTAGACCCTACCTTTCTGCGGCATTTATCCGAACCAGATTGATACTTCATGACCCCAGGGTCCGAAACCCGATGACATGGCCCGTTGTGACAGACATACGACGCCAGGATCTCAGGGCTCACTGGAGGCTGGCGCTGAGGGTTCACGCAGTCCCTGCCCCTCCTCGTCCTTTCCCCTTCGCGCACCGGGGAGAAGGGCGGCGCGAGGGATTGCTGTCGGCGGCGCACGGGATGCCGCCGCCTCTGATCGTGGCAGCAGCCGCCGCCAGGTCGTCAGATGGTCAACCGCAGTAGCCTCCGCTCGTCCCCGTCGAGGGAAGGCGAGCGAGGGGGGGCAAGTGAGACGGAGAAGGTTTCCTCAGATGGCGGCAGGACTTCTCAGGAGCCTTCGCGCCTCCTGGGAGGCCTTCTGTGCCCTAGGAAACGGCTCCAAGAATTTCTCATAAGGCTTGAGGACGTCCTCCTCGGGAAGGCCTCCTCCTCCTCCTCACTGGGAAGGCCTTCTCCTCCTCACTGAAGAAACCCTCTGGGCAGGCCTTCTCTTCCTCGCTTCCCCCGCGGGGCTCGGGAGGGCGACCCCCCGCGCCTGGCGCAGGGTGTACCCCGCAGTGCCGCCGTCGCTGCTTGGGGGCAGTCCTCTGGCGGAGCCATGGCGCTCCGCCGCGGGCTCCGGGCGGGCGCAGGGGACGCCGGGGGCAGGTCCCAGCAGGGCCAGGACGCGTCGGAGGTGGATAGACCTCCTACCCTGGCACGTCGATTAAGGAATCGGCCGTTTTCGGTTCGCGAGAGGGCGTCGCGGCCGTCATGTTTGCCGGACCAGGTCCGTCGGTTTCGGTCCCAGGCCGTTTTGCGGTTCCAGGTCCCGTCGGTTGCGGTTCCAGCAGGGCCAGGACGCGGATCGGATATGGCCAGGACCCCGGGTAAGGGGACCCGGTTGGTGGTAGGGCCTTGGGGCCCCTGGATTGGCCAGGATCACTAAGCCAGGTTTGCCGTAGCTGATGTTTTCTCGGGTGACGGCAGTTCCGGTTAGTGGAACGGGGCGGGGGGGCGTCCCCCAGTGCACATCCTTAAACCAGGTTCCACTAAACCCAGTTCTGCCAACGCCCGATCTAGGGGCAGGTTCCAGCAGGGCCAGGACGCGGAGGACGAGGAGGGTAGGTTCGATAGTCAGGCTCTGGAAGTTTCCGCTCGTCTCGCACCGAATGTACATCATGCGAGTAGCGTAGAATGGCGGTGCACAGCGCCCAGTAGCGCCGGGGCGCCATGGGGACGATGAAAAGCGTCCGCGATTTGCTGTCTGACGCCTATGACGGATCGTGGTAGCAAGCGCGGCCAGGTCGACCTTTTCGAGTTTGTCGCGGGGCTCGTGCCGCTGGCACGCCGCACGATCGAGGACGTGCGAAGCAACGAGCTCCTGCGGAAGTACCTCAGAAACACTTCGAAGGACGCAGGCAGCTCCGCGCAGAAGTTCAGAGGAGGAAAAGGTACCGATACCGCCACCCCCACGGCTGGATTCGCTTCGACATTGTGGCCAGAACGCCCGCTGGGAGAGGTTCACGGAGTAGCTGTATGGGTAATTCCTGCATGGGTAATTTCTGCGCATTTCTCAGAAGTTGTTTCCCACCGATTTGTTTTTTAGCTCCTCAGCAGCTGCCGTCCACCACTATTCGCACAGTTGTTCTCCACAGGACACTTCATCTGTTGGTCTGGGGATGCGGTCGTCAATGGGGGGGTGGAGAGAACCCCCACCCTGACACGTCGACTAGTGAATTGCCCGTTTTCGGTTCTCGAGAGGGCGCCGCGGCCGTCATTTTCCAGGCTTGCGCCCGCCAGGTTTGGGCCCGAGGTCGTCTTCACTAAACCGCGTTTTGCTAAAAGGGACTCTGCCCATCCCCGAAAATGGATGCGACCCGGGATCTTCCTGCCCTGCCATCCGCCGTCACCCCTCGCGGGAAGCGGGTCCTGAGGGAAGCGGGTTCTGGCTTCTGTTCGCCGGTTTGGGCTTCCCTGGGGCTCGCCGCGGGCCCCTGGACCGTTAGAGAAGGCCCCATGGTTCAGGACCCGTTTCCCACAGGATCCGCCTCCCCCATGCGAAGCCGCAGCATGCGGCTTCAGCCGCATGGTCTGCAGTCAACCCTGATGGTAGGGATGATTGATTTCCCAGGCGTACCCTTGCATCCCCGCCTCTTCGGTAATCTTCGGTCCATCCTCAACCACCTTCGGTGGCCAGCCCCGCTCGAAGAGCCGCGGCATGGGCGTCCAAGGCCGTGGCAGCCTCACCGCGCACCCTTGCTGTGTGGGGTGGCGGTGGGTCTTCTGGCAAGGGCGCGGGGTCGCTCTGCCAGACGCAGGCGACATGTTGCGAAAGGCTTGGGGGCGGTTGGGTCGACCCGCCAGAGGTAGCAGCACGAGACAGTTGCGCGGCGAGCCCCTGGGGGAAGTGAGCAGGGGCGGGCCGGGCCTTCTCAGAAGGCCCGGAAGTCCCCCTGCCTTCTGAGACTTGATGTCGCTCGGACGTGTGCATTGTTTTCTCGGCGGGGGTCATCCTGCGGAAAAGCCAGGCACGAAAGCGCAACAGAAACACAGGGAGTGGGCGTCCGAGCGACGGGGAGGAGGAGTTTTCTGAGCGTTCCCGGAAGACACGGGAAACTTCTCGGTAGGCTGGAGGGCTCATGCAAAGCCCCGCCGCTTTCTGAGAAGGCCTTCTCCTTCTCACTCCCCCCCTCGCTCGCCGGCATGCGTCTCACAAGCCTGATTCTTGTGGTGATCGTCCTCGTCGAGGCCACGGCCTCCACGCCATGCCCCGATGGTCACGGGCGGGCTCCCCGGAGGAGCGCGCACAACTCTGGCGTTCGCTTCGCTTCGCTTCCCCCCCTCGCTCGCCGCCGAGTGCAGTGCCGGTTTCAATACATGCTCCGCGTGCGGGTCACGTGTTGAAAGTGCAGGGAGTTGGCATTACAAACAACGATGAGTTGATGCATGACTTCAGTCATGAATCAGTCGTGTATTACAAATCCTATGTTTTTGCAAATCCTATGTATTATCGGGGGAGCGTAAGACATGGGTTTGCCAGGACTCGGGTTCGCCATCGTTTTTTGACGACCGCGACTCGGATTTTGACGAGTAGGAGTTTCGTGGGATGTCTGCAGCGGGAGGCCTCGTCAAAATGCAGGCTCGTCCTCGTCATTTTTTTGACGACTTCGTCGGGGATTTCCGAGCCCCCTGTACCCGGGTCTTACGTCCCCCCGATATTAAAACCTGCCCTGCAGGAGAACAGGACACCTGCACAGCACAATTTCCCAGAGCTCCGCACGGGGCTCCTGTGGGAGCGGCGCGCGGCGCCCCCCCCCGCAGCGCGAGCGCTCTCGGGGGCCGCCCCTGGCGGCGTGCTCCTCGCGGCGAGGAGGGGGAAAGGCCGGCGCCGCTGCAGGAGGCCCGTGCGGTTCTCAGAGAGAGTCGGCCTTTGCCTCTCTGGGCCTCCTAGATGGGGTCGGAGTAGATGGGGTCGGAGGATCGCGCCGCATCGCCGATGCATCGCCGATGCGGCTCGATGTGGAGCCCGATTTTCCCCGCGCCGACGTCGCGGATGCGTCGCCGACGTCGCCGATGCATCGGCGATGCGGCGCGATCCTCCGACCCCATCTACTCTGACCCCATCTAGGAGGCCTCTAGCCTCGGCATCGCTCGGACGTGTGCACTTTTTCTCGGCGAGGACCGTCCTGGATCATCGAGCAAACATAGCACGCGCGAAACCGAAAGATGCACGGGACATGAGTGTCCGAGCGACGGCTGGGTGCTGTTCTTGTCCCTTCTCCTCGCCAACGCGCAGAAGGGGGGTGGGGGAGCGGGGCAAGGCTTCTAGGAAGAACCCCAGGCTCTCGGAATGCGCGGGCCCTCGCTATAGGTGTGAGGCCGGCGCCTTCCAAGAAGCAGCCTCCTTCCAAGAAGCTCCCCCCCTCTACCCCTTGTGCGCGCCGCCAACCTCTGTCCTCGCAAGAGCGATCAACAGCCCTCCGCGCCGAGACGCCGACTGCATCTCCGCCATGCGGTGTGCGGAGATCGCTCGCGACATGGGGCTGGACGCGCGCCACTTCTTCCAGCAGGGGCAG